CGCGTTTCGAAATGATCGTCCGTAACGAGCCTCTGCCTCTAGCAATTCTAACATCCTCTCGGGGTCCAGTAAGACGTGAACCTCAGGTTGGCGTCCCTCTGGGGTCCGGATGTTGCTGGCGGTTTCATCCCCAAACGACTGTTCTGGGATGGACATCAGGCGTTGACCAGCTGCCACCGTGATGACAGTGGAGCTAGCAGCCTGGTTCGACTTTTGAGCTTGTGTCATGTTTCCACGAGATAAGGCGCTCTTTTGTTTCTTTGATTCGGTTTTGGAACTAGAAGGTCGTTCCGTTGACGTCGCGACGAGTCCGTTCGGTGACGGGAGAGCTTGGTATAATGTAAGACCTGGGTCAAAATGGGTCTTAGGGTAGGTTTTGGTATGTGGAGGTTTATGTTGTAGCGTGCTAGGAGCAGGCTGGAGCTCGAAGGGAGCTACGAGAACTGCGACTGAGGACGGGAATAACCTAGTAGTGGTTGGAACAAGGAGATGGTGACCCTTGAGGGGTTCCTAGGAGGTCCAGGGAGGTTCAGGAAGAGTGCGGGACCGTACGATATTGCGTAGTAGGAGTTGTACTCGCTAGAACATCAATATAGGATCGAGTAGGTAGTTTATGCAACTGGGTCTCGAGGGTGTAAGCTCCCGAGAAGGGATACGCCAGGGAGGGTAGGTCCCTGGGGGCTAGGTTTGAGGATGGTCGTCCTCGAGTGTGGGAGGTGGTAACGGAGAAGCAATACGTAGTTCGACGTGAGGGGTAGCTTCGACGTTACCTAGATCGAGGTCCCGAAGCTTACGAAGTAGCTAGGGAGCTCTGGGAGGTTTGGGGAAGGGTAGCTCACCAAGCGGGTAGGCGTTGGGGAGCTTTAGTAATGTTCGGGGGAGCTCGGAGACTCACTCGGAAGGCTTAGACTTGAAGTGAAAGCGTATATTCGATTGTATAGACGATCAGAGAGACAATAGACAGTAGTAGAGACAAACAGAAGTAGAGAAACAGAGAGTAGAGAGAATTCTGTATAGGTAGCAGGTACAAAGGGACAGGGACTGGACCTATGTAAAGGGTGTGTGTTCAAAATATACCAAGCTAGGGACGCTTATGTTACGGAGGATACTTATATAGGTGGGCTGAATAGTAACGGGACATTGTAATAAACGAGCATCTAATGGGGTTGGCGTGAAGTGCGGAACCCATGAGGCTAAATTGATAGGGGATTGTCCGGCGGCGTACGCAAGTCGCGGAGCTGCCGCTTCAGATGGAGGTTAGCGTTGGTGGGGAGGTTAGTTAGGTTCCGTGGTTCATGGAGGTTTGTGGGAGGTTATTTGGGAGGTGTAAGGGAGCTGATACGCTGTTCTGGGATGTCTAGGAGAGTGACTAGGGGAGCTTTTGGGGCAGGGCATGACATTAGCACTGCAACGTCGTCCCAAAATCACTTGTATTCCAGATACATCGGATCGCTATTTATACATACAGAATATAGAGTCGCATAGTACAATTAATTTAATACAATAAACGTTCGGAACCGCAAGGAAACTTCTACACTCAGTCAGATACCATTTAATTTGAATCTACATGTCCTTATTTGGTCCATATTGGTCCCAATCTTCTAGTATACCTCCAAACATAGGTAGGTACTTCAATATTCATTTAATTTAATTGTTTTTAGAGAATGACTCGAATGGTGTTCAACTGTCATTGCGGTTCAACACTTACTTCGATCGTTTGTCACCTCGTCTGGAGGCAAATCAGCTCTCCTCGATTCTAATCCTATCAATCTGATTCATCTGGATTAAACTAATTGCTTCTCTCTTTCAATAGACACCCATTGTGCCTATACTCTATCAAGGGAGTTACACATAGTATTCATTTAATTGCATTCTTCAATATTTTCTACGTCAGGACTCTTTGACATTCATTTGATAGGTCTTCGGAGCCTCGCAGTACTTCGATCGTTCTTCTAGTCATTTTCCTCAACCATGCAACTTGATTGGTCTATTAGACTAAATCGCAGTCTTTTAGATTAATGCATGATCTCGTTCTAGAAGGAGTATTTGATAATTCCTGAGTTCTAGAAAGTCATTTCGAGTCAATCCTCGGTTCATGGTCACTTGAGTAAGTTCTTCCAAACTCCTGCCAGTGTAAGGTCCAATAAGAATACCCTTGGTATGTCATACGTGAATGGTCATCCTTCGGATGTAGTCCGAGTCTGGTATAATCCTGCTTGACAAACAGGTAGACTGCTATCCGTAGGTAGTATCGGGGATGGGTAAACTAACCAACTTGTGGTAGTATGGGTATATGGTCCCTTCAACTTATTAGACTGATTCAGTATCGACTTTGACTGTCAATCTGGGTCTCAATTACAGTCCTCTTGATACAAATCTATACGTGAAAATGTCACAATTCACAGCATAGACGTCTAGCCAAAATTTAGGCGTGTCATTGGTATTCCGAAGATCTACCCCTTATTGTAATCTCACTCTTATTGTTCTTTCTTGCTACACATACCCTTTCGTTTCAGTCCCTCCTTATTGTCTTTTACTTTACCCTGCAGGTACTACACGTATAGCTCCTAGTAGTTAGTCTGGCGTTCCGCACTGATGCACCGCTCCATAGATATAAATACTGCCTGTACGCTGCTGTAGTTCCTCAGTTTAATTATCAACTTAGATCATAAGTTCTTTGGTTTGCTCCTCATCACCAGCAATACCGCCGCTCCGGCTTGGCTGCTACTGGCTCCTCCTTTCTATACTCTCGATCTCCGGGGACTAGCGGCATAACGGCGGTGTTGTTAATAACTTCACTACTGTCCCACTCGACCTTCTGCCCTTAGACACCTTGTGGCCCTGGCACGGTTACACGGTGTACATGATCTTAACACGAACTCACAGTGATACAATCTACATTCTCAAAGATTATTTGCCACAGCCTATACGTGAAGCACTGACTCAACTGAGGAAACATGCAGAAGGTGTTCCCACCTTTAGCATTCCCCATGAAGAAGATCTCTGTGAAGGTTGTGCCAAGGGAAAGATGACTTTACATCCATTTCACCTTCGAAATTATTCACTCAGACCTCAAAGAATGGCCTACTATTTCATACCACAAGTACAAGTATATGATCTTCTTCACAGATGACTATACTTCACATGGGTCCTACTGCCACTTGAAAAAGAAGAGCGGATCTCTTCCAGTGATAAAGCAATTTATTGCCACAGTCAAAAATCTATACGAGACTAATGTCAAGGAATGGATGTCTGACAGTGGCGGAGAATTTAGATCCAATGCACTTGATGAGTTCTTTAAGAACGAAGGTATCAAAGCACAATAGTCATCTCCTCATATCCACCAGCAGAACAGAAGAGCCAAAAGGTTTATCAGGACTATTATTGAGAAAAGTGAACCACAGCACTTTCAAGCCTGTATTCCTGATTCCTGGTGGGAATTCTCTGTTGCACACGCTGTGCATGTGTATAACCGCACTCCTATGCGTCGTCACAAATGGAAGACACCATATGAGATTTTGTACAACAAAGTTCCGCGCATAGATCACTTGCATGTCTTTGGCTGTGGCGCATACGTCTTTCTTCATGAAGAAGTACGGGTAAGCAAACAATCGCCCAGGTCAGAACTAATGACATATCTTAGATATTTGCTATTCATGTAGATTTTGAACCCCGAATGTTTATTTATGCATAATGAAGATGATCAAGTTGCGGGAGCATCATTAAATCATGCTGGAAAATGACATTGTGAGATAGGCGCTGGTGAGAGAGATGTTCCCACAGTTGAAGAAAAGGGAAATGAGAACAGCGCTGGTGAGCAGGTGACGTGAGTGTCGGTGGGTGCTTTAAGTGCCAGCGGGTGCAGCATTCTCACAGGCAGGACCGGGCGGCATCTGGGATTTGTCGGATAACTTCGGGCTCAGACCTGTCGGGTTCAGACTCTACAACGAGATCAAGTGACTGGTCTATTAGTGTGGCTGGACTCCTTCCTATAATAGTTATAGCTAACAATATTGACCTATTTAATAGCAATGTAAGGAAAAGATCAATGCCATAACCACCCCTGCTTGGCATTTATATATAAGTCAGGAGGTGTGATGACAAGGTGTCTTATATTGCAAGCAGCAAAAGAGCTGAACCAGCATGAGCTCAGCCCAAGAGTAAGGTACAGTGTCAGGATTGCTGCATTATGACATATTCAGACAGCATCAAAAATAGAAAGGGAAGATGCGGCAATCCTTGCCTAATAAAAGATGTAAAGAACACCAACTACTTTGGGTAAAAGGCGGGAGTCAAATTGGGCGAAATGGCGCACACATTAAGCGCCGAAGAGATAAGAAATTAAAATCTAATCTGGTCCTATCTTAGCTGACTAAAGTTTGGGCGGGCGTGGATTTCGTCGGTGCTTCAAAAATCATGCCGGACGATTATGCCGATGCTGACTAAACCCCCCCCAGTCGATATTAAACGCTCTTTGGTTGCTACGCCGGCACTTATACCTTATACTAAGACTTGTACTCATATTCCTACTCATAATTCTAGTACCATGTCGCAGTCGTACGAAATACAGCCAGAACTCCATCTCTCTGACATCCGAATGCTTGCTCAAGGATCTCTCCTTCTTGAATGGGAATCCGCACCCTGGTTTAGCTCCGCTGTCATCAGGTCTTTTGCTAAGGAAAGAATCTGATCGCTATGTCACAAGTCGACTTCTGATACAAAATTCATGTGAGTTGATCCTGGAGTAATGTTCCGAAACCAGCGGCTGAAATATCGTTATTCTGTCTGACAATCGCAAAGCACGTACCATGAATCGTCGGTCATTGTGTAACTTGGAAAGGCCTTCAAGCAAATCATGAAAGTCAGAGGGCTTCGTTATCAAGAGGGAGATCTAGAGACTAGAAGGCAAAGACAAAGGATTAGCCGATCCTTTGTGAGTGGTGATCACATGTCAGCGGTACGCCAGCAGCACGAATTCCATAACGTTCGACCTCTTACTCATGTCAAAAATTGCCAGCTATGCTCGTAACAATATTGGCTTCGACACCAATGTACGGAAAAGCGGATACCAAACCCTCTCGGCGAAGCCTGGACATTTCCCACCCCTTGCGCGCTTTACGGTATCAAATCCACCCATCGTATACCCTAGAAGTATTTCTCGGCGCATCCAGAAGCCGCTCTCTTCTACAGATTCCACGGAGACGACCTTCAGTCGAACGACACAAAGAGATTTGTGGTTCCTCATGACCTTGTAAGTAACACCAGAGTGAAATCTGTCCGGTGAACTGAGTGGCAAACACCAGGTCATTTGCTCTATGCTTCTCATTTTTCTATGTCTTAGACGTTATTTGTGCCTTTGCTTTTGCATACGAAGGTAACTCATTCGAAAATTCCTTGTTTTAATATTCTTGAACACGAAAACTTTAGTCAAGAAGATCGAGCGAACGGAATGTTTGGAAGCATTCCTTGCAAACAAGTGCAATGATCCAGTACCCTTTGCCCGGGATGAATGCATCAAGATGGATCTGTGCTTGAGGAGGTCTATCACCAATGTCGGTTATGGCCGATTAGCTGTTGAAAGTTTGGCGAGCATGGTCAATGGATTTTTCGAACCAATATCGTTGAAAGCGCTGGTACGATCGGAACTTTATCTCGATCGACGTTGGAACTAACGACTACTTTGATCAATACAAGCAGGCATTGCTAATAGGGTTGATTTTCATTGTCTTGAAAGTTTCGAAAGTGTCTCGCCACCAGCTATAAACTTGATTGTCAATCGTCCAACCATTTTGAACCGCCTGACTGAAGAAAAATCTCCCCAAAGATGACAACTCCCGGACCCCTTTCAAATTCCTGGAATCTTGTAATGGGTAGACTCTACCTAGTACTTGCTCGAAGGTGCCGCCGTGAAAGTGATTTCAGATACCACGTTTTGATACCAGTGCTCAACCCCTTGCAATGACCGTTTTCATTGATGACACCGCGAGTCTCTCCATTCTCGTTTCATCTATTTATTATGAATCCCGAAATTTGGTTTGCTAGCTGACACATTTAGTCTACAGTACATTGACCTTTTTCTCCCAGAATATTGAGGTTTCTGTCCTTATCTTGACCATTTATTCGACGTGACAAAGTTGTGATTCTATCTATTTCTTACTTACTATCATTCATATGTAGCCAACCATTTGTGTCGTATGTAGACTAGCTCAAACCATCTTCTTCATATATGTATACAACTTAACTCAATTTCTCTACATCACCTCACTTCAAATCGAAAGAGCGTAGAGAAGGAACAAAAAGAGGGCATAAGTGTTCTCGGGCTCCATCGAGAGTGAGGGTCATTAATTTGACGCCGGATGATCCCTCCAGGTGGTCCCGCAGGTCCCACTGAAGGTCCTATCAGCACACCCATAGGCCCAGCCATCGTGGGCCCCATACCTACCATAGATAGTCCTGCACCAGCTCCCGGTCCAGTAGCAATCGGTACCCCACCCGACACCGACCCAGAAAGCATCCCTGTGGAAACTACACCGCTCATCCTCGCTCTTCCCGCCTATCGTTGATCTCATCAGGTCTGATATCACGCATCCCACGATTGAGATCTCGCATTCCCCGTATGTTCATCTGCCGAAGGGCTGATAGTCGGTGCCCTGGTCCCGGAGTGATTGCGATAGCTGAGGGAAGTCGATCCCGAGCAACCTTATATTGACATACGGCATATTTGCTGCCAGCGACGACACCCTTGATTCGATTGGGTAATGAGGTTGATAAGGCTACAGTGCTCTTTGTGTGAGACGGAGTCGCGAGTGGGGTGAAGAGCGGCAAGCTTGAGTTTGGAGAAGCTTGTTTGGTGTCGAAGTTTCTCAGAGAGGGTAACAGACGATTTTTCGTCAGCGAGGATGTTGTTGTTTTCTTCGACAAGAGTGACACTACCGCTAAGAACCGCACCCTTCTCTCCCACTTCCGTAGCAAGAGCACAAGCTATTAGTATAGGAGAAAATCATTTATGAGGATTCGATATTGAAAGTTCAAGTCAACATACCTTCGACGACCATGTTATGGAATGTTCTGTCGTATTCATGCGACAGGATATTTTCGCGAACGGTGGCAGGAAGGGATTTTGAGGAGCATAAGCGATACTTCCTTTGATTGTCACTTCACCTTCCCGTCGAGTCATGATGAATTTGCATTTGTAGCTCGGATGCACCCAGATAGTCTGATAGACGCACGAATAGAAATGACGGATTCCATCACATTCGAGGTAATTTAACTGTAAATGCATGAACAGGGATATCAAAGGAAAGATGACATCTGAGGTAAGAGGCTTGGAAGATACAGTAACTGCTACCGCAAACGAACTGAAAGCGACCAAGAGAGGCATACCACCAACATTCGATTAAGAGACTGGGAGAATACATGTCAATAAGTTAGCTATATGTATCATGATACAATCGAAGATCAACGACTAAACTAACAGCAGTCACGATACCCACTTATGACGAATTCTTGCTCGTTCCAAACCTGGAGGATTTTTCTGACGAAGGCAAACTCCCATCCGTATAGCTTGATACTAGAAAGCAATGAAGTCTTACTTAATGCTAAAGAAGGATCGTTGAGACTCACCTCTACATATTCGCAAGACGTGAGTTAATCATTAGCACAGTACCAAAGACGGGACCCAGACATACCAGTGTTTAAGTGGGATGGAAAACATCATGATCGCAACATCAACAAAAGCAAGCCGCTTTATGAAACTGAGTTAGAACAGTCCAGAAACGGAGATTAAGCCGAACTGACAAAAACCCTATCTATCTATCTGCAGTCGAGTCGCGTCGACAGACATCAAATTTACCAAATCACCAGAAAAACGATCAAGTTCGTCATTCGATAGAACCAACGCCTGTTGATATAAAACATCTACCAGACCGGATCGGATGCGCATCCGACGCTGGAAAGTTAGTGATAACGATAAGGACGACTTGTGAAAAGTACACGTACCCAACTTCAAACGCGCGCTGGAAATACTGGGGAAATATGAGAGACGAAAGGTGCATCCAATGACAAACGACTTACCTAGTTTAGGACCTTGACTGATGGATACGAAACATAGACCAGCATACATGAATCCTTCTAAGGGATCAGGCTTCGCAACATTGACACTCCACAGTCCGAATCTTGCACTTTGATACAACGATATATATACGAGTCTAAGGAGCTGGGGTTGGGAGAACAAAAGACAATCAAATAAAAGTTTGAGTAGAGCTGCGAATGCGTAGAGTTTTGTGTAAGCGATGGAAAGAAATTTCCGAAGAGAACTATGACGAGGGGCAGAAAGGGAATAGGTCAGTAAAGAGAATGACTGACGGGTTACGTCTCATACGGCATCCTGCAAGAGCTGAGCAAGTTTGTTTGCGCGTTGAGAAGATCTGCTTCGGAAATATACTGCGATGCTCTTTTGCGCACAAGGGGTGTCATCCAGGAGAACGCCTAGCAAAACGATCGCGAGAACACCACCTGAGCGTTGGTCTGACGGTGAACACATGAATTTTGCTTACCCGAGGTACCAAATATGTTGGCCGTTAGTACTAGACTTTCGTGTGAGTCGGGCTTGTGGTGAAATTCGGGCTCGATACATTTGAGGGCACGACAAAAGACCCAAGACACATGCAGCGCATTTGAGTGCGATTGGGAGGCGAAAGAGATTGGAATTTTGGCCACAGCACTTTTGACTCATATCGGCACAACAATCGTGTAAATGGGCCAGAAGTGTAGTTGCAGTAAGTCAAGGATATGATGCCAAGGATAGAAATGGACTCAAGGATGTAGATAGAGCTATCATTGATACAAACATGCCACGCCTTGCTAAACGGCGTTTTAATTTTAGCGCTCGAAGCGCGTAAGCTGTACGTCTCTTGAGTCTTTCTTTCATCAGTGTCCTTAAAGTTTTGTGTATGTCTAGTTGGTAAGAGAACTGCTCCAAAGATTTCTCAAGGATTCGCTCAATTTTCATCGTCAGGATTCTTCAACTTGTCCCGGGCCCCGAGATCAGCATGTCACCACCCAAAAGACTGATTGTATCTCACGCTTGCATCCAACATGTAGTCGATCCCACAATCCCTTCGACTATCGAGCTATACAGCTACCAACAGAACGAATTTCGGTTCCGAGTAAAACTTCTTTCAATAGTTTGCCGTCTCATGCCTGGAGATCATTCAAGGCTCAACTTAGCCCTTAATGCAAGTGACCAACTGACGTGGAAGATAACCGGTTCCAAGTAAGGCTGTTTAGCCTTCATACAATACGCAACTAATCAAAACCTTCTGGACCCTTCAGCACTGTTTTGCTGTTTGGGCATTATGAAGAAGACTGCTAGATGATGAGGCATTTTGTTCTTCACCCTGTTCACCATGTAGATTGATGTACTCCTCGCATTGAGGTCACCTGTTTATTTATGTTATTCTTCCTTTAGATATGGAGCACAACTCTGGTGTACATAACATGATGAAAATGTCGTCGAAGTGTTGAAGACAAACATATCGCGTTTATGATAACATTTCCGGCTTCATCATGTTATGAATACGGGGTTAGATATTCTATTACCAACTTCGCCTCCGGTTGTAGGTTGTATCAATTGTACATGCGATATGCCTTGAAAAGGTTCGAAGGAAAATCCACGTAACTCCGTGCCTTTGAAAGGGGTGCGGAGTCACTCGGTTATATGGAACGTCAGCAGATTTATAGGATGAAGTACAATACAAGTATGTTCGGAGACAACCAACAAAGAACCCGGGTTCTGAGGTTCTGAAGAATATAGGAGGAATTGGCACTGGAGCCAGAGTCTTCCTCGTCACGGGGAATTTCGACAACGACATCCTCGACAGCGGCGGAGGTAGTGAAGGTGTTGAAAGCGTCCATTTCAGATGATGGTGATTGAGATTGGGTAGAAGTGTGAAAGGACGTTGTCAAGACTTAGTCGATTGAAGAGTGTAGACTGCGTCTGAGGAAAATTTGAAGAACTCGACCGCCCTCTTATAACCTCCAGTGGCAGGGAAAATTGTTTCGGTTTCGGTAGGCGGGGGCGGCTTTTAATCCTTTTGGCTTACATTCTTGCGTACAGGAAAAAAAAGGGAACGGAAAAGTGTCACACCGTACAGGCCTTGATTACGTGGTAGCAACAGAGGTGTGCATAGATGTAGAGTCAAATACTCAGTGGTAGGGAGCGCATACAACGGGTACGGATACATGGACTGTGCAGGTGTGCCGGTTCTAGTATGAGCAGGTTTTACTTCGCGTATATCACCCGTGAAAATCACAGAGGATGCCACTGGAACCTGAGCCAAAGGTTCATGAATGGGGCGGCCATACTGAGGTGCGACAGGTTGATACGGCGTATAACCGGTAATGCTCTGTGCCAAAGCGGTCATGGTGTCAATTCCTAGATGGCGCGGGGGCTCGGTGAGGGGAGAAGAAGAAGAAGTTGTTGTTGTAGAAGTAGACGGAGCGGAGGGGTTTACAACGGAGTAAACGATCGACCTCCCAGTGCGTGCAGATTGTTGTGTGTCTGAACGAGGGGGCGGGGGAGGAATGAGCTCGGCAAAATATGTAGGACCGGATTCAATCTGAGATTCTGGAACAGGAACAGTGGGTAGAATCAAAGGCTGAATTACATTCTTAGTAGGTTCTTTCGTAATCACCGAAGGTTGAGCCTCAATCATTTGCACAACCTGTCCTAAAACTGGCGATGGCGACGATTCAGCATCCAAATCCAAAGGCTCTGCGTTTTGACCAGGTGGAAACGCGTGTCGGTTGTACCACGATAGAACTTCTTTTCTGTGAGGAGATCGAGAACGTGCACAACGTGGGGACTGTCCTGGGTAATAGTCCACTGTGACACGAGAGTCTGCCACCCAAGGTAGCTTATTTATGTGTTGAAAGAAATGGGCTATGTGCGAAACGTATGAGTTCAACGAGCCTTCTGATGTGCTCGGTGCGGATGAACCCATTTTAGCGTAATCTGGGGCTAGCTTCGACAAGGATAGGACTGACATAGTAACCTGGAATAGGCATTGGCATGGGCATTGACTGATGGTCTATAGCAGTTGTACCATCGTGAAATTCTTGGGTACCATGCATGGTCTCACCTTCCAGGTGAGAATTGGGATTCCAAGAACGAGAAGATTCGGAATGAGGATGCTGTTCTTCGATGTCTGCAGGACCCTGCGCTGGTAAGTACGTATTGTCCGCTCCATACGGCGTTCCTGTATAAGCAGCCTCTGGATCTGATTGCTGTCTGTTATCATTCCAAGTTGGTGTCAAAACTCGCTTGATCCCCACTACAAGTTCTTTTCTTTCCTCATTCCATTACGCTGTTCCTCAGAGCGTATAGCCTCTTGCATACTCTCGCTTATTATCTTAGTGCAAGTTTTCCGCAGTATGAAGTTGGGCCTCGTCTCGAACTTCATTAGGATCATCAGTGGAATTCTGGTGAAGACGGCGGGAACGCGCGGAGCGGTGAGTTCTGTGGGTTCTGGGGGACATCATCCTGCGTGAACCAATGTTGAGCCCGGTGGGCGAATCATATCGATTGGGGTTGTTCATTGTGGCGTAGAATAATTCAAAAAAGCATCAAATCTCTACTTGATCACGCTTACCAAAGGTCGTAATCTCTTTCCATTTTTCGACGACATCCTCAGGTGTATATGGCTTCACTGTTGGGAACCCATAGCCACCACTGCGCTGCCAACGAGATTGAGCGATCCAGCCTCCGGAAAGTTCGAACAGACACCCTGAAACGTCATCATTATCTGCCAGTAGAGATCAATGGTTATCTCTTCAAATTTTTAATGTGCAGAACAACAAACCTGCACTCGTCGGATACCCAACTAGAGGGGCAATATGGTCAGGTTGTATGAGGGAACGCATTGTGGGGTCGGGGCAATCACATTGGCAAGAATGTTATATTGCTAGCCTTCGATAGCAAGGGTTCTTGTTGGCCCAGTGATGCCCGCTTTAGCAGCCGCATACTACGCCCATAAGAACAATTCAAAACTAAAAAGATGACCTCGTACATTTGCTTGACCAAAGTTACCATCTGTAAAGTTGTGGAGATAATGATCACCAAAGCGTCGAGCAAGGAGATGCAACATGAAATACAAACACCAAATAGGAGAGCAAGTAGTGAGGATGCGACCGTACTTCTGCTTCTGGAACATTGGCCATACCGCTTTGGCACACTACGCCAAAATTCGCTATCATGCTCTGCATCTAGTATGTAATTTCAAATTTTACGTTATATGTTCTTCTTTGAAGAAATATGAGTGATGAGAAAAGGGCTGATAGGTAATGAGGAAAGGACAACTATACCGCAAGTGAACAGCCAGAACTATATCCCATTCTTGTTCGGACATGGCTGTGGTCGACTTGTCCCGTAAGATTCCGGCGTTAGCAACCTAAGATGTGAACACCGCCAAAGTCATCCAAGGCAGCTTTGACGATAGTCTCCCCATCTTCGGCTAAACAAACAGCAGTGGTAGCTTTCCCGCCAGCTACCGTTAACAAGTACTAAATCACTAAATGAAACATCACCTTTCATGCGCCCTTCTCGCTGACATCATTGACAACGACGTTAGCTCCGAGCGTGGAGTACATGAGGGCATGAACACGGCCAAGACCTGCGCCTGCCCCAGTCACAACTACCGTTTTGCCATCAAAACGGACTTCGGGTGATGATTGAGGGTAAAATGGTGGTTTGAGAACAGCTTCGCGGGTTTTCTGTGAAAAGAGGTTGATTCAGGAGTTGGTCGTTTTTCTAAATTAGTAATGTGAACTCACCTTCATGTCAATATCGGCGATTGACTTGAGGCTGAGTGCAAAAAGTTTAGGTTCGGATAGACTAATATGGCAAAACGTACTATTTTGGTTGGCTGAAGTCAGTGATTTACTGTTTTCAAGAGTGACTTGGTATCATTCTCGTTATTCATTGCGTGGTTCAAGTCGACGCTACCCAGAGCAAAATTAAGCCAGACGGCGTGACTGAGCTGGATAATAGGGCAGTATCAACATGCCTGCTTCTAAAACATATACCTCTAGTTGAATCTTCGTACGTACTACTGGTCCACTGAATAACACAACGAAAGCAATAACGAGACTTCGAATAGCGTCGACTTCATATATATATAACCAGCTGCCCAGATGATGCATTGCTTGATTGCAAAACACCATCACTTGAACTCCGACACCCATAGCGACACAACATGGCGACTAAGGAGCTCAAGACCTTGGAGAAGCTACATATGATCATTAAGGATGAGGCAGCAAACCACCGAGGCAAAGAAGATGCAGGTCTTCTATCTACTCTCGCGAGATTGGAGAAAGGAGAGAAGAAGCTAGCGGTCCTGGTGGTAAGATGCTCTGCACTCTGTCTTTTTTCTTCCTCAATCAGCCATAAACTCATACATCTTTGTCAGAATCAAGTATCCCATGAGATAGAAGTGCTAATCGATAATCACGAATTGCGTGGACATGAAGAGGAACAAGAGGGAGAGAAGGATCTCATCTTGAACGTTGCGCTACAAACGGAAGTTACTCGAGCCTTAGAGATGCGGTCAGCTTTACCTGGTAACCTATTGGACACTGATCTCCTGGATCTTGAATGGGTATGTTCTTACTCAGTTTCTGCCACTCATCACCGATATATTCCCGTGAAAGCTCGCAGAAGTGATCGAAAACATCCTCAACGGTGATACAGAGAGCAATAAATTAGATCTTCTCCGCCGTTTGCAGGCGGCCTCTGCCAAAACTCTTTCCCGTGCATTGGAATGGTTGGCTGATGTGATGTGAGAGAGGATCACAACTAGACTAGCACATGATTCTGCTCTGAAATGAGTTTGTTCGTAACTTCAACCGAAGCGTTAGGTACTCAGTTCAGAACACCCTTGCCTTTAAAGCAGCAGTATCTCGGTTACGCATCGAAGGGAATTGAAAGGTAACATGTATATTCACTCAGATACAACCCGAATAATGGTGAGGGAATGAGGTGGCATAAATGAAATTATAAACGTTGAGTAACAGGTAGGGTTCTGCGTATATGTAGATGGATGATGACATTGTAGACCGTAGCTAGTATTGCCAAATCTTCCTAGATTTCCGCGCCGGGGGCGCCACCGTCTTGACGGCCTGCCTTAGCTAGCTTTACTGATATGCGACAAAAGGGAAGATAGGGACAGGGCAACGTACCGTATCAACTCTGCTTGTTACACTGGTTTTCATGCTTAGAACACGGTTTTCCATCTCTAGCCTTTCGATCGTTCGTTCTTTCTCTTCTATCTCCTTCCTCAGCCGTTGAATGTGGACCTGCGCTAGCTCTATCCACTGCTCTTGCAGCTCGATGAAAGAAGATGGAACGAGAAGAGGGTCGTCCTATTAAGAAACTGAATAAACATTACAGATGAACTTAGCATCGTCACTCACCGACTCGTTCTTCTTCTGATTGTGATCAGAAATGTCTACATCAATGATCTCCTCCCAGCCGGGAGCTTCTTCAGCTTCCCTGATCGCAAGGTTAACCATGATCGCGGGGGCACTAATTGAAGGTGAGGTAGTGTAGGTGAAGTAGTGGCAATGTTCAGAACGGAGCGTTGTGGTCAGAGTCGTATCGTGCAAAGTGGCGCCAGTGAAGGATCTTTATAGGTACGTCCTTTATGAGTACATTCCTTTGTACCTATAGGAACCTACCCGGTCAAAAGCAACAAAGGAGTCAGATATATGGTTCCATATTATAGAACCGGAGATATCGATGAGGTAGAACATATTGACACTTGCGCAGTTTTCTTTGAAAACATCTAGTAGTCAGACAAAATGTGCGGACGAATCGACCGTGACGCTGGTGTGCACTGGTAAGTAATCATTAATGCTTACATAATGTCTGGCATATCACTACGCCGTTCAATGTGGGTCAGCCTGAAGTGAGTTTGTCGTAGTAATTCCTTTTTCATTGTTTCCAATCGAAATGAGCGCGCTGATGTTGTTGATTCTCAAGGAAGGAAGGAAATTTGAGTATCACATGGCATGGTCCAAGAACTGAAAGCCGGTTTACAGAGATTCAAATGGACACGGTAATGTGCGTATAGGTGAGTTCCTTTGAAAATTTATGGCAAGCATACAACGGACATCGAGACCAGATTACCGTAGGATAGCAAATCAAATGATAAGCAAAATCGTTGACGCTCTGTACCTGTGTGTGAACGCATATGCACTTATACTGGAACGGTTATATCTTTCCATGACCTTCGACAACGAACTGGTATCGTTTTCCGTCCTTTGCGTTGATTGGCGGCCTGATTTCTTATCAAATGCCTCCAGGCTTGGTATGGAGACGACGTCCCTCAGGATCGGAATTTTGACGACAACGATCTACAACGTTCAAATCCTCGGCCATCTCCACAATCGCGTTGATCTTCTCGAAAAGCTGCATAAAACAGGCCTGGAAATGGGAAAAGGTGTCAGAGGGTTGTTACCTTGGGATATGTGTCTACGTGCAAGTACAATATAATCATTTCAATTCCAAGCTCTTGACATATACGTTTTCAGCAGTCATCGTTCTCAAAACAGCTCGGACTAACAATTTCTGCACAGAGCACACTTTTTGTGGATTCACTCACTAGGAAAACTTCGTGAGTGCTTGCTAACCTTTAGATCTTGCGTCCGTGACCAAAAGTTTACAGCGCTGCTCCGCTATAACGTATAGTAGCCGTCGAAAGACAGGTCAACGGAATCGTCCATTTGTTCATTTGCTAACTCCAGTCCTTTATACGACAGTCACTGCATCAGCCCCACGCCGTTTCGGAGGCTCTAGCACCTTGTTGGACGATGAATTACATGCTTATTAACAGAGGCATTGAAAGAGCAAAGTATCGTCTCAACTTAGAACAAACGTTAAGAAATGACAACGTAGTAACTAATGTTGAATCGACGTCAATTATGTATGAGTCGCAGGTGGTGAGGTTGGTCGGGGCTACGCATATGCAACTAAAAATACACCCCGATTCAACAGAACCTCTAATATAGAAGTATTTTCACACCCTGGAACATTGGAACGTGAGTTGTCATCAAGTAATGAAATCGACCGTTGAACTTACCAAATAGGTGATTATCAAGGCCACTCCATCCCGGACATCTGGCAACCAGTTGAAGTAGAACAAAGGCTTTTCAATGGAGTTCAACTGTAAACCGCTTTGGTACACTTGGCTGAACCGAGGCCCACAATTCAGGCCTGCTTCGCTGTGAACACAATCGAACTGGGCTTCGATAAGCTCTGAAGCAACTGAGCACACTAGAAGCAATGAGTTCGAAAATGCGTACTTACTAATTGCTAGTGATCCGAGCACAAGTAATTGACGGCAGAAAACGACGAAATTGTAGACCAGAATAAAAATAACACTGAGTAGAATTGCACGCGAAAGCTTTGCGGCGACGTGGGGTTTCGGGGTGTAGCTATAGGGTGGTGGTGGAGAATCTGCCATCGTTTACTGTCCAAAACAAACGCCACCACTCAGAATATATACAGTTTCCTATAAGCGCTGAAAGAACAAAGGGATCGTCAACTACCCACGCGAACTGCTGCCGCCACTCGCACTTTCGTTGTTCATTTCCGCAATATTACACTACGATTGCAATGTCCAATAAGAGAGGTCTTCACAAGTGGCGTTTCGTCATGCCTGAGTCTTCTATGGCATCCATTCCGAAGGTGCGATCTCCAACTTATCTGATTGTTTAACCTAACATATTTCTCAGCGAACACCTCGCTCTCCTTCATCACATTCGTCGACACCGGCCTCGGCTGAACTCGAGGAACCTCGAGTTGAAGCGCGCACTATCTCTTGGTCCAGTACCATGACGCGATACGCAGTGCAAATCGTCACTCTGCTCAGCTTCATTTCCGGTTGTGTCTATCACGTTAGCAAAAACCTCAACAGTTACTTCCCCAGTGTACATTTCCATATCCCGCCCCGTATTCTTCTCTATATGTGTTATCTTTCGCACATCTTGTGTACAATGCGCATGTTTCTCCTACTCGATGGCTCACCGGCGTGCGATGGGGACTGTTTTCTTCAGCCTCTTACAGCGTCTCTTTCTATGGATCGAGTTCAGCAGCAGCGGCAGCGACTGACGGAGAATGCACTAGACTACGCGTTAGCTCTTCGTGGTGGGGCCGTCTTGATGGATCTTACCTCTGACACTGCGGGAATCACACCCCTTTCGCAGTGGCAGCGCTGGCTAAGTTATGTGTCAACCTTCCCCGATTACGCAGATAAAGCACCTCCCTTGGCTGTCCTTGAGCAAGAGGTCCACGTAGGCTATTGTTGGGCTTTCTTAGGGCCACGTGGACATATTGCTTTCGCTCTCTCGGAACCAATCGTCGTCACTGATTTTACCATATTCTACGCAAATCCCGATGAACTCACGACTAAGGAGCTCCAACAAGCTCCCAAGATAATTCAACTCTGGGCGTTGTCTGCACCAAAGTCTCCTCAGGATGTAGTGCAACAAAAACTGGTTCCATGGAAACACTTCGCCCAGACAAATCGGAAGCCCTTACAACTCGGTTTTTCCAATTCGTTCGAGCTTTTAGCCAATGTCTCATTCACTCTGCAACAAGGTACTAAGCAGACTTTCTCAGTTGAATCACCAACAGAAAGCTTGACGACAGTGGTGGTCATAGAAGTCTTAGATAATTGGGGATCTGAGACTACCTGTCTATACCGAATTGCAATTCATGGCCAGATACCCTCGTAAGACAGTACTTTGATTGAGGATGGTAGGCAATGGGAGGTACAAGGAATCATCTTTCAATCCATGTTAATAGAGAAGTAATGCTGTGTCAAGCGTGCACAATATATGCAATGATTTTATATATAATAATTTATAACGCCTGTGCTTCGCTGCGGTAACGGATTGTCTGAACTTTTCAGAGCATGACGGTATGACTGCCATACATCATGATTTATTTTCCTTTCCGCCCAGACTTTGTTGAATTATTTATTGGAAGAAAAGCCGATGATGCTTATACCTGGCGAAGCTCATCATTTACCTACTTCGTATTTGATCCACATTTTCATTGTCTGACCTGCACATAGTGTCGATATCACCCAATCACCCAGGCCAGTTTCTGCCAGCTCCTTAGTTGTTCATTTCTGCAGCTCTATGCCTGCAGGCATTCAGCATATTCCCCCACCCGCTGTATCCTCTCGCAAACCCGAAATGCCCTTTCGAGACCAGAAGATCGTTCATCCACCCAAGGAATCATGTTACAAGTATCTATCAACTTTACTCTGGGCAGACTCTGGGTCATTTCCTCTTCTGACTTGGCATTCAGTTTGCCTATCATGTTTCCTAGCATTCCAGAAAGCAGTACCAAATCTCGTGTAGAGATTCAAGTCCGTGTCACGGTCGACTTGGCCGACCCAAGTTCATCTATAGACCCTCATATATACGATCGTGTTGGTTCGTGGAAATGGCTTAAGCTCCCTCCGGGTACCGTACCCGCAAGCAGGGCAAAATTGGTGAGCAACCAACATTTCTTACGTGGTATCTTTTGCTCACTATTAATCAGACCCTGACTCTCGGGATATCCAATTTTTCTCACCGTCAGCGTCTCCTGCGCAAGTCTTCCGCATAATCATGTTCTCAGTTGTTCGAGCTGCCAGACTCATGAAGCAAACCGTGTTACGAAGATCGCTGCACGTGTGAGGCCTGCCCGCAATTCAGATGTCGACGAAGAATATCCTGATGATGCCAACAACTCTGGACCTGCGAGAAAGAGTTTTGCTTTTTTGGAAGATACAAGCAGCATCATTCAGTTCAATTACGCCGAAGTGTTTGGTGCCAACCTGGAGGCAGTAACACAACCTCCGGGGCATCTACACCCGTAGTTTATGTCAAGAAAGCTCCTTGAAAGCGAAAGACTGATGTCGGCGGGAAAAAGAGGGTCAAACCGTATGACTCGTCTGCAAAACCAAACAGGAGCTCTTATGAAACCAGCGTTGTATCAAATGCTCCTTCGCCCACTGCTTCAGAGCCACTATCCATCACCACCGCTCCCTCTTCTCCTTCGTATCCACCACTGACTTCGGCTGAACCGCTCTCTGCAACTGAACTTCCTTCTCTGCAATTTTCGACGCAAGAATCAGAGTCCTCACCCGACGTCTCGACAACACCTCTCGATATCGATATACCCATGTTGCCTGAAGGTATAACAAATCTTGAGGACCTTTTTACAGCCGCAGGCGTAGCACCTGACGCAACTATGAATCCCCTTCGGTAACATCTGCTTCCTTACTGTTCCTATTTACCCCTCCGCCAACCACGATTTCAATGCCAATCGTATATCGACTCATACCGAATTGCGGTCCGACTTAGTGGAATTGAGGTCACCGTCCTCGGAGCCAACTTCCATCCCACCTCGCAATTCAATTGTGTTTTTGGCGATATGCACGCTAGTTCAACTCAGAGGTGGGGCGATACAGTGTGTATCCCGCCTCCGCGGGCCACCGCTGGGATCGTCTCAGTTTGGTTTGATGGTTTTCCAAAGGTGGAAGAACAGCCTCCCTCGTTCTTTACCTATTCCGACGAATCAGATAGTCGTTGGCCTCAAGATGACCGGCAATTGCAAGATAGAGGATGCCAAAAAAGTCGCGATGCGGATTGTCGGTGCCGGAGAGGGCACGGACTCCCAAAACTCTAACGAACAGAGCGCCAGTAACGGTATGAACATGCAACTCTCAACTACGTTATCGGCCTCTCGCGATCTACGTTCACTCATGCTCGTTCGTGCAGGTAATTGCGAGGATTTCGAAAGCCTCATTGCCGACTTCTTGAAATCGATCGATACTCCCGTCGATCATCCATCCGCTCAAGTCGTATCTGCGTCGAAAGCACTATCGCATATGACGAAAAGCGGACAATCGTTGTTGCACCTCTCTGCGTTCCTGGGCTATGCAGCTATGTGGAATTCCTCGTCAAGCATGGGATCAACATGGATTTGAGGGATCGTAATGGGTATACCGCTCTGCATTTCGCTTCCATGGCTGGCTCGAGGGACTGTCTCGCGAAGCTTCTCAAGGCAGGAGCGGATAGGGAGATTGTGAATGCGCTTGGGAAGACAGCTGAGGAAGTTGTCGCGAAAGGAATGGGTAAGCCTGTCTTTGAGGAGATTCTTGAGGAGATGTCGGATACTCCAGAGGGTGTTGTTTCGGATGACGGAGAGGCGGAGTGGGGTGATGTAGAGGAGGAGGTAGAAGTGAAACCAGTTGTGAACTCGAGTCGGCGGGCGAAGATGGATAGACGTGCACGTCGGTCAAGAGCTGCTTCGCGAAAAGCCTCCCGCGAGGAGCTTAGGATCCATCATACATCCAAAACTCCCAGTATGACACCGTTAGCGACTGCTGTTCCTGTCGATGGAAAGAAGGAGAAAGAGGCTGCCGCAGTAGAAGTAGACGATGAGAAGCAGGCGCTATCGTTCATCGATATGCTCCAACGTACCATGGCTCAATTACCTGGTGCCCCTCAATTACGCTTGCCCCACTTCGCCCTCCTCCCCGGTGTGCCTGCAATGACTTGGGAAGCGCTACACCAGTTGAATCAGTTCCAATGCCCGATGGTGTTCCCTGTAGCTGTGCCTCTCCTACCTGGATGGTTGAGCGGTGAACATCGTCAGGATCAGGATGCAGCAGACGTAGCGGACGACAATGCTGGAAAACTCGCAGGACCAATCGAGGCTGCACAGGAATGGAGAGCGTTGTGGGAGAAGTGGCTGGCTCATGTTCCATGGCAAGCCACAGAGATGCCGCCACCGCCTCAGTACACACCTCGAGCAGCCCCAACGGAAGAAGAATTGATTTCGACTCCCTCACAACTTGTGAGGTGGGCATCTTCTAGGGCTTCCGATTCGGAATCAGTAGCAGCTCCCCGTCCGATCGCTTCTGGCTCTCGACCATTGCCGGATGCATGAAGACGGTACGATTATGATGTAGTATCAGCCACCGACCAGGAGGCCAAGGCTCACGCATATCAACCCAAGCTACAGCAGAAGAAACGTAAGTCGCTCGAAAGTCCCAGTTTTCCATCATCGTTAACGTTGCTTTTTGCAGATGATCGAATGCTTTTACTTCTGCACTTTGGGTTACCGGAGACGCCGACCACGGTTGTTCGTTTACCTTTACACGGGAGATCGAGATTGGATAGCGCCTTGTGAGCCTTGTGAGTTTTTTCATAATTCCCTATTATTATTGACAAACAACGCTGATGCTAGGGTTGATGCTATGCTGTAGACCCCTAGATTTTTGGGCGTGCTCGGAATGCGGAAGCGAAGAAGGAAAAGGATTTGAGACCCAAGTTCTCAGAACTCGGGGGAGTGGATATCGAGTTTGGTGACTCGTTGAACGGTGGTGGTACGTAGACCTATCAGAGGTAGAGGGAAGAAGATGAAATGGTCACCCGGTCATGGTCCTGGTCTCAATTCACATTATCACCAGGCATCAGCCGAAGGAGCAGATTCACGACCAATCCCAAGGGATTCACAATATTCAAACCAACAAAATTCAGAAAACACTCGTCACACTCAACGAAGGAGAAGCTCTCGATGAGATCTCCTACGAAGCCTCTCTCACCAAACCTCGTTTCGGATATCTCAGTCACATGTCGAAGTTGGATCTGTAAAGACCACGAACATACAGCAGCCACCGCGCGCGAATCCACCATGACCAAGGATTCGCGAAAGATATAATAGGACCGATCCAGACTCTGTAATTGAGCTGAATAGCTGAGAGTGTGGTTCTTGATACACCGATCTCGCATGTTACGACGGTATCTCAAACGGTGGTCGGTCAACTGAATAGCTTAGTCGAGGAAAAGAATATGCTGTCCACATCGAATAATGGGGTTTTGGAAGATGAAAGACAGGAGAAGGAGGACGCAAGAGAGAGGTCGTACAATCGGTCTCTTCGCATCCTCCATCCCACTCATTGGCCACCGTCGAAACCATGATTATAGATTAGTGGAATCAATGAACACCTCAATGTCGTCTGTCCTCACTCATGGGACTTGGACCGGATTGAATGGGCTCTCGTCTTCACATATTTCGCATATTTCTCAATCACAGGATTCCCCACCTGCACCTTCCTTTTCGCCCACCCAAACTCTATCATCCTCCCTTCGCACAGACTTTCCGCGAACACTCACCGCAACCCGTGCGCTACTCGAAGCAGAACATGATGACGATGTGGCACTTTGGGGACATGTGCAGGTTCTGAGAGTGGAGGGGAGTATTCACAGTCATCATCCTCGCATCAAATCTCGGACAGCCATCAGGAAACAAGGAATGCTCTTGCTTAAGGTCCGCACTCTCACCAGTCTCAATAAGCCTCAATACCACCAGGCTCAATATTAGACGCAGCACCGGTGGACCATGGGAAGTGTGGGTGCTCAGAATGTACAAGGTACCCATCACGTCTACGTTGACTTTTTAGCCAAAAGGCACAAACTCACCGATATCCCGGCTTGGAAGCGCGGCGCACGTAGCATGTAATTAAGACACATTGAAGGTGGTAGCGTAACGATGTTCACATGTACACAATCATTGAAAGAGTCCTTTGGTGTGTGAACAACGTTTTTCGTAGCTACCGGGAGTCGTTGGTCTGTCTGAAAATATTGCCATCAGATTTTTGAAAGTCCGACGAATGAATTCACACTGCGTCGACGCCACTCATTGTCTTTCTTTCTCTTGCGTATATCTACTATACTCTGCTATTCGACTTCAGAATCGACGTGAGCATTTCCAATATGCCTACAAAAAATTTTACATCTTCGAGAATCCGGCTTCCGTTTACGAGTCCAGCAATTACAGCTCCTATAATCGTAGAAGCTGAGGACTCCAGCTTTGTCCCATATCCCAGCATATGCATCGATGCTGAAATCATCGCGGAAATCGCTCGTCATGAATTCCCGGCATCCAGTCTCTGGAGAATTCATCTCACTGCGGGCAGAATCTTGCCTGGAGACTCCTGTCTATTCATGGATGACCCGAATCGGTTCCCTACGTTTGAATCCCTGCTTCCTCATCTGCTCGCTTATTTCTCTGTCCTCGCTTCATGTGCGCGCTCCAGTGGGAAGCCTGACATATCATTCACATTAATGAATGGGAGTTACTCCTACACGGAATCTCTTGTGGAAATGACAACTCAATTCAAATGGTCGGACGTGCTCGGATATCATATTCAGTATATGAGCAAACGACAAGATGAGATGCGGCGAGGCATTTACAGTGGATGGGGTCCAATAGATTTAGACCTTTATCTGCAGGTTGTAGCTCATCGCAACCTCCGAAGGTCTCGAGCTGAAGAACTTTGCATGAGCAATGGTGGGAATATTGAAAGGCAAGGAGACTTTTGTGTCTGTAGGAATGGTGAAAAGGAAAGAGATCGGAGCAACAAAAGGAAAGAAAATTCATTTGTTGATGTTGCCGAAAAAGGGAAAAGGATCTTTATTGGTGTTGCGATTGCCCTTGCATTCTTTTCTACTTTGATTACACTCTTCAACTGCTACATCCTTCCCTAATTGCAAAGAGGTCATGAACTATGAATCTCCTTCATCTTCTTGGTGGTACCTGTACCTCTCTTTTCGGAAATAATCTTGGAGATACAATAGACATGTTATGTACCTTTCAAAGTTTTCTAGAACCTGTAAGCATTAATGTGACTGTCCCTTGGTGTCCGAATCTGAGGTTCATGGAGATGAGGGTGTAGAGTTATTACCCCCCCCTGCAAGCCCTTCGCGCCCTCGCGATGGGTAGACGCATTTCTGGGAGGTCACCTGATATTCACGTGGTACCTAAAATTGTTGTTCAAGTCCATCTGACCTCCCTCGCTTCTCATCACTTGTCTTCCTTCTGAGTTTACTCAATTGAAAGATGCCTTTGTCTCCTCACAAGACTCACTCCTCCTCCCCACATCCTGCTGCTGCCTTGTCCTCTCCTGTTCCTCACGAGCAGGGAGGTGTTCCCTGTCATGCCTTGGCTGCAACCAGGACAGTCCCAGTACCAGCCACACGCTCTCACACTTCCAATCCATCTCGGTACCTCCCCAAGACAGTACCACCAATTCCCCCGCTTCCATTAAACCTTCCCCGACACGCGTAAGAAGCCCTCCTACCACCAACCCCATTAAGTACTAATCTCGATTACCTGCCTCATGGCCCCTGATGTTCCCTTGTTCACTTCCCGTACCTATTTAAGTAGCTCCGCAACGTCCCCAAGTGTCATGAAGCGGCAGAGGCGGAGTGACTAGCAGAGCAAGAAAGCGGAGTGACTAAGCAAGGCGGTGAGGCGGAGCGACTAAGCAGGTCAGCGAGGCGGAGCGACCAAGCGGAGCGAAGGCAAACTGGTCCCAGATAATGACAGAGATATATTGAGTATCGTAGTCATAGGTAGTAGTAAGTAAGCACATACCTGGTCCCAGATAATGACAGAGAGGTCAAGATAAGGGACCAGGCTGTGGAGGGTTGGCTATATATACATAATCCGGTCTGCGAGAAACAATGATGTAATACTGTACAGTTCAGGGGCAAGGAAGGTGGCGGAAGCCAGTAGAAAGAGAAGATAGTCAGGTGGATCAGTAATCAATGGGGGTTTGACAGTGATGGGATGATGTATTGTACAAGTAAAGGCGTCAAGACAGTGAGAAAAGGAAAATGATAGGGGCTGCGTACTTTATGACATTACCCCCCTCCTTATGACCATTGCCCTCGATGGTCAAGGTTTCGCCGCTGTGGGGTGTTTTTTATGAAAGGCCCGAACCATTTTTGGTGCCCGACTGAGGTTGGCTGCGGGTTCCCAAGAGTTGTGCCCTGCGTCATAACCTTTCCACTTAACCAAATATTCCAACTTCTTCCATCGAACCCGACTGTCTAAGATCTCCTCTACTTCGTATTCCGGTTCATCTTCATCCTCTAAGTATACCGGCTCTGGTGGTGCTGGTATTTCGCCATTAACGGGGTTACCTTTCCAGGGATATAGTTTATCAACATGGAAAACAGGATGAAGGCGATCTAGGGATAGGGGGAGGTCAAGGCGGTAGTCTAAAGGGCCAATTTTCTGCAGAATGCAATAAGGGCCAAGCTGTCGATCTCCTAACTTTTCGCTGGAAAGCTGAAGGTTAATGTCCTCTGCACTGAGCCAGACGAGGTCTCCAACTTTAAATTGATGAGCTTTCCGCTTCCCACATTCGTATCCCTCCTTCTGTTGTTTCTTTCCTAGGTGTAAGGCAGCCCCGGCATCTTGTCGCGCTTCTTGGAGAATCCGTATACGGTCATCCACAGCTGGAATACCGCTGCGTTGGCCGACCGGGATATTGAACAGGGGAAGATAGCCGTAGGTTAGCTCAAATGGGGACATGCCTAGGGCAGAATGGGTCCGTGAGTTAATCACAAACTCCGCCATGGGAAGGTGCTCTGCCCAGTCGTCTTGTCGTCGTCCCACATAGAGGCGGATGTATTTCTCTACTTCCTGATTTGCTCGTTTGGTTTGGCCATTGGACTGAGGACGGTATCCAGAGGTTAGATCTGATTTAATTCCTAGCCTAGCGAGAAGGGATCACATGAGTTTAGCTGCAAACTGGGGTCCGCGGTCGGATTTAAAGTGAAGAGGAAGACCATGGAGGCGGAAGATCTCTCGATAGTAAATATCGGCAATGCCTTCGGCTGTGATGGAGCTGGTGCAAGGAATAGCGTGGATTTGTTTTCCATACAGGTCTGTGCAGACCAAGACAGCATTGTAGCCTTGGGAGTTAGGTAGCTGTGTTATCAGGTCAACCCCTACCTCTTCCCATAGACCGGATGGTACCTCTAATGGTTGAGTTACAGCCCGTGGGTGTCGTTGGATCTTCTTACGGGCACAAACCTTGCATCCCTCAATGTATTTCTCCACGAAAGAGCGCAGCGTTGGCCACCAGAAATGGGTACTGACCAAGTCGAGTGTCCCATGTAGTCCGGGGTGTCCTGCAGTTGGATGGTCATGGCATTGACGGAGTACCTCGGTGCGTAGGTCATCGTTTGCTGGTACGTATACTCGACCTCGATAGTAGACCAGCCCATTGTCCTCTTCCCATTTGGCTATTCCACTGGCCAAGCGCTGTAGTCCGTGCTCTTTGACTGTTTTGAGACCTTCCAATACCTGTGCTTCCCATTCTGAGGCTTTCCGGATACGATCCTCTAAGGGGTTCCGTAGGATTGAAGCTGCAATTTTTACGAAGTGGCCAGGTTTAAGGACTGTCTGTTGCCGGTTATCATCGCTGTCCGATACATGATGAACTGCCATGCGGGAGAGGGCATCAGCTTGGGTGTTTACTCTGCCAGGACGGTGGATCATATGAAAGTCAAACCGTGACAGATAGAGGGCCCATCGGGCTTGTTGGCGGGTGAGATCTTGTGCAGTGCGCCAGAATTCGAGGTTCGAATGGTCCGTAATGATGTCGAACGGTTGAGGGAGTCCTTCTAGAAAGTTCCTCCAATCCTTCAGGGCTTCAATGATGGCAAGCATCTCTCAATCATAGATTTCGTAGTTTCGTTCCGCTGGCTGCATAGATGCTGATCTGAAGGCTACCGGATGCCATTGGCCGTCGTCTTGCTTCTGCATAAGGGCGCCTCCTGTGGCAAAGCCTGATGCATCTACCTCGATTCGAGTAGGCCTGTCTGGTGTCCATAGAGCAAGGATCGGTGCGGAGATGAAGGCTTCTCGAAGGGTGTCAAACACTTTCTGTTGAGTGTCGGTCCAGGTAAAGCTGGTGTCTTTCTTGGTCAGGTCGTTCAGAGGTCGTGCTATTTTGGCAAAGTTCCGGATAAAGCGTCGGTAGAAGTTTGCAAATCCCAAGAATCCTCGTAGTTCCCGAAGGTTAGTAGGGACTGGCCAGTCACGAACAGCCGCTACTTTTACCGGATCCATTCTCACCTCCCCTTCTGAGATGATGAGTCCAAGGTATTCAATCTGTTGTTGTTCAAATTCGCATTTTTCGGGTCGTAGATAGAGGTCGTGCTTTTCTAACTGAGTTAATACTTCCCGTACCACTCGTCGGTGTTCCTCGAGATCGTTACTGAAAATAAGGATGTCATCTAGGTAGACTGCCACCTTGCCTGCTGCAATGAGATCAGCAAATATAGCATTCATAAGTGCTTGGAACGTGGCAGGGGAATTTGTGAGACCAAAGAACATGACCTTAGGCTCGAACAAGCCTCGGGTTGTTGCAAACGCGCCTTTCCATTCATGCCCCTTCTTAATCCGTATGTTATTGTAACCCCAGCGAACGTCAAATTTCGTGAAGTATCTTGCTCCCTGAAGTCGGCTAATGATGTCAGCAACTAATGGGAGAGGGTATCGGTTCTTCACAGTGTACTCGTTCAGTTTCCGATAGTCTTGTACTGTCATGCCCTGTCCCTAAAAAGCTCCCCTTGTTACCTCCTAGACATCCCCGAACCGCGTACCAGCTCCTCCCCACCTCCCAAATAACCTCCCATCCCATGACGGAACCCTACCAACCTTCGACCAATGCTAACCCCCATCTGAAGCGACAGCTCCGCGACTCGTGTATGCCGCCGGACAATCCCCTATCAATTTAGCCTCATGGGTTCCGCACTTCACACCATCCCCATTGAATGCTCGTTTACTATAATGGTTCCTTGTCAACTCCTCTCGCCTATATAAGCACCATCGTAGCATAAACGTCCCTAGCTTGGTATATTTTGAACACACACCCTTTACATAGGTCCAGTCCCTGTCCCTTTGTACCTGCTACCTATACGGAATTCTCTCTACTCTCTGTTTCTCTATCTCTGTTTCTCTCTACTACTGTCTATTGTCTCTCTGATCGTCTATACGATCAAATATACGCTTTTACCTCAAGTCTAAGCCTTCCGAGTGAGTCTCCGAGCTCCCTCAAACATTACTAAAGCTCCCCAACGCCTACCCGCTTGGTGAGCTACCCTTCCCCAAACCTCCCAGAGCTCCCTAGCTACTTCGTAAGCTTCGGGACCTCGATCTAGGTAACGTCGAAGCTACCCCTCACGTCGAACTACGTATTGCTTCTCCGTTACCACCTCCCACACTCGAGGACGACCCTCCTCAAACCTAGTCCCCAGGGACCTACCATCCCTGGCGTATCCCTTCTCGGGAGCTTACACCCTCGAGACCCAGTTGCATAAACTACCTACTCGATCCTATATTGACGTTCTAGCGAGTACAACTCCTACTACGCAATATTGTACGGTCCCGCACTCCTCCTGAACCTCCCTACGCATCAGGGACC